TTTTCTTTTTTTTTGTGAAATGATAGCAATAAATATTTTTATTATTACTATCTTCGCGACTTATGCCTATGGGACCGAAAAATTAACATCAGATAAATTAAATTACGTTAAAGTAGGTACCTACAGGAATACCAGTTAAAAAATTACAATTAAGTACAAGTTTATTTTTAAATTCGCTTTTCTTGAACCTAAAGAAATATTTACTTGAAAAACTTCCACGCGGACCAGGAAGCAGAATTCGTAGTTTTTTTTTAGTAAAATTGTCTTGAGACTTAGACATCTAGCAGTTAAATGCTTAAAAATACCTCAGGGTTGTTAACTTATAATAAATTATATAGAAGACTACTAAACACAATGACTAATTTATATTGTATACCTATATTTAAATGTTGACTTTTATGCTCATGCAGTTAAAAAGGATTGTCATTTAAACAATAGATTGACCATTACATGACTGTGTTGTTTTCTTAATGTGCATGTAAATGAGAAGAACAAGTTACCTATTTATATACGTGGTAACAGATGACCGTTAAAACTTAAAACATGCTTAAATATCGTTGACAAGGCGTGAAATGCGACTTACAATTAAACATTTCTTTTTAATTATTTTGATTTTTATTCTATATGGCTTCGCACGGTTTGTGCATTTAGCCAATGTCAAGTGTAAAATGTTTACACATTCTATAGCACTCGTGGTCAAAATATTAGTCAAGTCAAAGTAAGTGGCAGTCAAGTCAATCCCCCTTTCCCTATGTTTCAGTAAATGTGTGGGGATTAACTGAAACCTCCCCGTGGACTTCTTGAGGGAACGTCGAAAGACACTTTCCGCTATTTTGTTTCACTTGCCAACACTTGTGCATGTTTCCGAACACTTAGTGGTTAATAATCCACCATTATGAGATACGAACATCCGCCACAACACAATTTTTAACAAGAAAAACAAAACTGCTAAAGTGACGCTTCCCGATCCCGCCAAAAAGTCTTTTCATTATTTACAGGGAACGTACATATACTAAGTGACGTGACTAGTGTTGCCAGGTCCAATTTGTCTTAAATCAGTACATGTGGTCAAAAAAATCGGGACTTAGGGTTGCAGATCGAGACAGTAAACAAAAAACAAGGGGTTTTTAAGTCTGGGTTTAATTTATTGCGTTTTAAACTACTAGTGCAAGTAAAGTGTTATATTAATTACCTAAATTTCATTTATTGATTAATCGGGACATTTAGCGTCCCGATCGGGTACAAATCGGGACATTTAGCGTCCCGATCGGGTACAAATCGGGACGCGTCCCCAGACCCCTGAAAATCGGGACACCTGGCAACACAAGACGTGACCCACTTTTTTTTTTAAAGTGAAACTTCTTTACGCGCACTTGACTTGGGGGGTAAGCTGGCGAATGCGTTACGTGTTACGAAAAGCCATAACATACCATTTAAGGAACACCGTGTGAGTTTTAGTCTGTTGTCCCTCGCATGAGGGGAAATTGTGGGTAGGCAGGGGATCACACGTATCACGACGTGTCGGCAAGAAACGCGAATTTGGGATACCATCAGAGTGAGGAAGGTTGCGTATCTAGGGCACGTGATGAGACACGAAAGGTACGCCCTCTTACAAGTAATAATGATGGGCAAAGTTGCTGGAAAACGAGGCATAGGGCGCAGGAAGAAGTCTTGGTTGAGGAACCTACGAGAATGGACTGGAATCTCTAGCGCCGATGAATTATTTCATCTCGCTAAGGATAAGGAGACATATGCTAAGCTGACGGCCAACCTTCGCTGTTCGGAGAGGCACTAGAAGAAGAAGAAGAAGGGGATCACAGAACACATAAAGTTGTTAGAAAGTTCTTGTGGGCGGGGCAGGCGCGCCATAGTTATGTTTGATCAAATGCTCATGACCTGAACAAAACTTGGTTCTGATTGCGTTGTTTCTTTCGGATGTAAGCGCTGATTGGTTCAATTATTTGATGACGTGTCGTTAAATTGGCTATTATCTATTAGTGGAAGTGTAGTGGGGGTGGGCTTGCGACATCGGTTCCCGTACAAACGGTCTATGATCGCGCTTCTAACTTTTTTCCGTGTTATGTGCAGAGGATAGTTGATGTAACCCGCCACCTTCTCCAGTGAGCGGGTATACGTATGCGCAATTTTTACACGCGAAAAAAGGATCGAAAACCAGTTAGACAAAGCCCCAGTGATTTCAGAATACGTAATTCTTTAATAGCAAGGGTTTATTGATTGTAAGGTCCCTTTCTTACCACATCGATAGGGCCGTAGGATCAAATCCTTTTATCACAAAATATCATTAACTGTGAAACCGGTGTCGTGTGCGAAGCGATGGCTGGTTCATGCGTCATGCTCGTGAACGGGTGCTGCCAGCGGAGATGAGTCTGCCCTAACTACTTTAATATTTAAGATGTAAATGTTTAATTACACCTATTATAAATAACTCTATTTTTATTTATACTGTGTGGCACAGCAATCAAAATGCAGGTGAACAATTAATGTATAATTACACATTATGTAATGAAGGGTGACTTCATGAATCATCTCTGAAGTCATTTTTCAACTTGACGACTCTGTAAATGATAAAACAGGGAGAAAAAAACAGCCCTTGCTGAGTTTCTTGCCGGTTCTTCTCAGTACAAGGTCTCCCGCCGTAGATTTACGAACCGATCGCGTAGCTTCTAGACATTCATATGTGCTTGTAACAGCCTAAACTGAATAAATGATTTTGATTATGATTATGAAACGAGCGGTTTGGTACTGGAGACTAAAAACCACGTGTAGCTAGCTGCCTTACTATTCATCATCATCATCATCATCAACCCACGTTCGTCCACTGCTGGACATAGGTCTCCACGCACGCCACTCCACCAGATTTTGTGCTACTCTCATCCAGCCCACTCCAGCCAGCCTACGAATGTCATCATCCCATCTTGTCTCAGGGCGTCCTACACTACGTTTACCGAGTCGCGGTCTCCACTCAAGAACTTTCCGGCTCCAACGGCCGTCAATTCTGCGGCTAATGTGACCAGCCCACTGCCACCTCAGTTTGCTAATTCGGTGGGCTATGCCCGTGACTTTGGTTCTCTGTCGGATTACATCATTTCTGATGCGGTCCTTACTATTAAATACTTAATATAAGAAGGCTTCACAGCCAGCTAGCTTATAACTAAAAAAACCCACATTTAAGGTGATATCGGAAGCATCCCCTTGGGAAGGGGTGATGCAAAGATATACTTCGTAGGAGCATTTTCTTCATTGCTAATTTTCTATGTACTTACGTAGGTTTTATTGTAAGCGGTAACGAAATAAAACATTAATTCGAACAAAAGAATGTACTACCTGATCTGAGGAGCTAGATGGCGCAAGTGGTTAGCGCGTTCGGCTGCGATCGTTTGAGTTAAGCAATTTTCGCAGTGGTCGGTCATTGGATGGGTGACCAAAAATTTTTTATGCCTCGAATTCTTCCGTGCTTCGTAAGGCACGTAAAGCCGTATGTCCCGGTTGCATCTGTGATCCTTAGCACTCGTCAATCTGCACTGGGTCCGCGTGGTGGGTCATGGCCCAATCTCCCTATTCCATCCATAGGGAAGGCCTGTGCCCCAGCAGCGGGGACCTAAATACGCGAGTTGGGTTTATTGTAGTAGTTACCGGTAATTTTTTACAAAGTATTTGTCACCAACGATTAGATATCGTTGATCGTACCTATTATTTAAACAATGAAATGTACCTACGCAAAATGTCCAAATTTATAATATTTTATACAGATAACATGTGTTGCAAGTACTGATAGATACTGATATTGATAAAAAAAATCCAAAGATATTTACCTACTGATTAATTTTAACAGTCGATCTGAATGTAATTGCGGAACGGCACGTTGATAAATGAGGGCTACCGTTTCCTGCCTCACCAGGTGGCGCCACTGTTGACGGAGGTTCTAAATTGTAACTTTTAAAGTTTATTAATACGCACATGAAATCAAAGGTTACATTTAGATCGTATTTTAACACAAAAGAACCATATCCTAAACATAGGTAATAGGCCATACCACAGTGACGCGCAGTTCCGTTTTATTCGGAAAAAATGGGAACATAATCATTTTTCTAAGCTCAAATTTTTAATAACTGACATTCATTGCCACATAACTCATATTTGCCATAATTAAGCCGAATTGTTACCAATTATTCACAACATTATTTTAATTAGAAATAAACCCGCGTAGTCAACCAACAAGCAATAACATTTGTCATTTCGGAGACCTCACGCTACACTAGCGCCTCTAGCGGCGGATTCATACGCGATAGCCCTCATTGCTATGTGCAGGCGCAGCGTACTTTCCAAATCCATATTAATAATAATAATTTTTATTTTTTAATCACGTAAAGACTGCTTGATGTTTAAATCTAAAGAAAATATAGCTAAAAAAAATTAAAGCATCAGGCAGTTACATGCTTAAAAAATAGAAATTATGACTTTCATTGCCATTTCTTCTTTCAAATGTTTAATACTTGTAATAGTATTCATTTGACATTGTGGGTTACCTACAATGCGAAAAGGTGACGCTGCCTTGCAGCTTCAGAATGGCTAGAAGTATTTCGACGCGGCCATCAGGGCCGCGGTAGCATAATTGGTAGCATTCGCCCGGATAGCGAAGAGTGCGGGTTCGAGTCCCGTCTGCTGCCTGGTCCATATTAATATTCAAATGCAAGTGTCCCGCACCCGTACCCTCCGCTATCCGGGTGGATGCACTGATAAATATAACAACATAATATGAATGACTTAATATAACAAATAACATATGACTTCTGCTAACGTATCGATTATCGATCGATTTATGACTTCAGTTTAATGATTCAATCAAGTTAAAGAAAGAAGTTCAAGTTCATGGTCATAGAAGCCATTCTTAATTTAAATTCCAAAAAAAAAAGTGTTCCGTCGCCGATGCCGACTGTCACCCACCCCGTTCCGTACGTCACATGAGTCAATCAGACACTCAGCCAGTCACAGCACAGTCAGCAGCAGTCCGGTCCGTCTGTCATTCAGTCGGTCATCCGATGACGTACTGTAAGAACGTCTGATTTGGTAGCCGGCGCGAGTTACGAGCAATTTTCTTCAAACTTCAAATCGCGTTTATTCAATTACAAATTATTATCTTACGAGCGCCCGGATGCGCAAGAGTACGAGGCGAATGCTCGCACACGGCCGGACACAGTGAATCAAACATTATTCAGTTAAAAAAGTTCCCAATCTCATACACTCTGTAAATTGTGAGTGCATTCGCAACGTTTGTTTTGATTAAAATCCAACCCCGTTCTCTGTGTTGATTCGAGAGTATTTCAGCGATAAAGATGAAAATGCAGAATTCAAAGGAGGAGACTTCGGACGACGAAGCTGGATTGGGGTACCAGAACACATTGGTGAGTGCTGCAAAGTTCTAACTTAGATTATACCTATGTTTTTCAACTTTCTAGTTTCTAGAAAAGTTACGCGGACCTAATATGTAGGTGTAGATGGTTTCCTGGTTTCCAGATTGTAATTAAAACCCTAAGTATTACCTGTGTCTAGGCTTATAATATTTACCCATTGTTAGTAAAGTTAAACTATTGTTCTGGTTAATGTACCGTTATTGTGAATTAATGGAGCTACATTATAACATTAAATGCTGCATTGATTTAATATATTGCATACAATATACAATTTTAAACTAAACCATCATAAGAAATGTTTTGTAAGTTAATAATAAATGGACAATTTTTATTAAGTCAAGTAACTAGAAAATAACAATAAGATTATTAAACAATTAATTTTAATCATTAATAATAAATAGTAACTTGTTAGAAGACTATTTTTAGTTATAATTAAATATTTTTCATTAGTCACCTTTTATATAACAAATATATTAGTATTTATTATTATTTAAATTAACCACCCTAATTACCGTGAATAATTATTAATTAAAACAACTTTTTGATATATTAAATAAATACAAATGATAGATTGTGAACGAAGAGCTGATACGCTCAGTAATGTTGCTTTCCTCAATCAATCAATCAGAGAATTATACTGACAGTTGTGGAATTGCATTGTGATAAGTAAGATAGATTCCGTCATACAACAAGAACTTTAAAAATACTTATGAGTATTGAGACAACACCTTAATCAAGTATTAAACAAATTTAATAGGTATATTTATTTATCTAAAATGGGTGGCAAAAAATATAGCCCATCAGATTTCTTTTTTGTTTCCTCCCAAGCAGGGTAGTGGGTTTGAAATCCATTATGGGTACTTACCCTACAGTCGGCTGCAGGGCTCTTACTGACTGAAACACACCTGTGGTTTGATGCCTTTGGCCAAAATGGCCTCACAGACTTCATCTTATGCAGTCATCCCCTGAGCAAGGGATGATGTAGCCCATGTGATAAACATTAGCTACAAGAATTTAAAAACTCACACCCCGGAGCGCTGGAAACTTTACCAACACCTTACTTAAACACATGCAAAACCACTTAAATTATACAACTATAGCCTGATAATAAGAAGCTTTATTATTGACTAGTGGCCCGCCCTCGCTTCGCTTCGGTATTTTAACCCCTTGGGGGTAAAATTGATCAAAATCCTTTCTTAGCGGATGCCTACGTCATAACATATATTATAATGAAGCAAGTAGCTATTACGATTAATATCAATATGGACTTAACGCACAAAGGAGACCCAACCAATCCGCACTGGGCCGGTATGTTGGGAAATCGTATTGCCTGTCCTTTCTATACAATTCTATCAAGCGTATGTCTCTGGAGCACATTAACACACTAATAATTATGATTTAAAGACATCAGTTGATAGACTGCCTTCTCAATGGCATGGCAGTGTGAAATCTGAAGTAGCTTTCGAATAAGTTGAGGAATAATTTTGAATGTTATGACCACATTTTATGAAATGATAATAATAATTAACTATAGATATTATATTCGCACATAATCAGTTGTTGTTACTAACAATTAAAATACTTAAATAATTTAGACTAGCAATATTGAGAACATCAGTGAGAAAACTCATTGGTAGGATCCAACATACCGACCAAGAAAAAGCGGCTGAAAATTTTAAGTGAATCCATTTACAATCAAATTTCATTATTTAAAGCTGTTTACCTAATTCTAATAACTTAAATGAAGCATAATATTTCAATAAAACATCAGTTTTATAAATCAATGCAGCTTTTATAATGATGAAGAATAACTTAAGTGTTGATTATAAAACTGTATTGAGGTTAATACTCTAGAAACTCCTCAAATAAGCAAAGTACAATGTTTATCTTAATTATGTACAACTTCTTATCACATCATGTTCTCTTTATGATCACAGTTAATTTCTGTTTTGAACTGTACATTCAATTAACTATGTATGAGTTTTATTCAAGTACATAATTTTATTATGAGTACAACTTAGGACATCTGAATCACATAGCACATGTTCATTTATTATTATTATTGAGATTACCTACTTGATATACTGAGCGATTGCCACTGTTAAAGTTATAATTGTTTGTGATTTATTCTTATAACATTATGTCTATACTTCTTGAAAGATTATAGAATTTGTTCATTCACAAAAATGATGTATTATTTTTTACAACATACCTTAAAATTAATACAATGGTAATTGAAGTTGTGGAGATAATGTTTAAGGTGCAAAACTATCTCTAAGAGTAATTCATTAAGACCTATAACTAAAACCGAAAATGCATCATATAAAATACTTATAAGAAAAACTTTTGTATACACATTTTTTATATCACTTGTTTTGTCCTTTTCTGTTCAGTTATTTAAGGAAACAATGGAATACTATCATTTTTTTTTCTATCAATACATCTTCCTAGGTAACAAATAAAAGCAAATATTTTAATTTAAAAATAGGTCACAGAGTGTCTGCCAAAGAATTGAGTAATCCTCGAGAATAAACAGCTCACAAATTACTCAACAAGAAAAATATTTCATGTCCATTTATAACTTTTACAAATCACGTTTACCAATCGAGCTAGCAGACAGAGTCGCATTCGAAAATCAGCTGTAGAATATTCAAATTTCACGTGCACAGTACAGAAAAAACCTATATTTAGTTTTTTTACTTAGTGCATTCAAGCACTCGTCAAATCGCTATAAACGATTTGTCTTTGACAGTTTTATAAAAGCAACAAGCAGCGGCCGCCCGCGTCTTCGTACGCGTGGAGTTAGTTAGAAATAAAGGTTCACTGCTCGTTCCCCGTAGGTGATAGCGTGATAATATGTAGCCTATATGTTGACCCGACTTCTTAATAATATTCGTGTCTAATTTGAATTAAATCCATGCAGTACTTTTTGAGTTTATCCCAGACATACATATAGACCAGTACCAAGTACTTGCTCGATGCTTTGGATAGGTTACCGCGGCGCGCAATACGCATCATAGGCGATGAGGAGGTGACTCAACACCTCGAGCCTCTTCAATTACGCCGTGACGTGGCGTCACTAAGCGCGTTCTATCGTCTGTACCACGGCGAGTGTTCTGAGGAGTTATTCTCTCTTATTCCACCTTCCCCTTTCCTTCAGAGGACCACGCGCGCTGGCTTACGTTGTCACCGTCTAACTGTGGCCACAATTCCAACGCGTACAAAGAAATTTGGTGACTCATTTCTTTGTCGTACTATCCGTAAATGGAATGCTCTGCCCACTCACGTGTTCCCTCCCTCTTACAACCTGGGATCCTTTAAAAGAGGCGTGAAGAAGCAACATGCAGGCCGGCAGGGTGAGGATGGCTGGTGTGGCAGGTAGAACTGCTGTATCAGCTATCTTCGCGTCTGGACTTCACCTCCACTTAACATCAGGTGGGGTGGAGTCATTTGTCGGACCTATCTATAAAAAAAAAAAGACAAAAATTCTAAAAACTATATTTTTGGCTTTGGTATCGATTGTAGATCACACCCCAAGTATTCTTTAAAAAAAATATTCAATGTACAGTTTTGACTTTCCTACCATTTTATTATATGTATAGATAAGTGCTATTCTTGAAAAGTTTGCTGGCATTTGCTCTGCGATCGTGGATGTATAGCTAAAAGCAACATCCGCATTGCCAATGCTTCAGCGACACAAGCCCGAACTTTGACAGCTCTGTAATTTGTTTTTTATTTTTCATGCGCACCACTCATTAAATAAAACAAGTTTGAACGGTATACATCATCATCATTGCATCATGATAACATCAGCCTATTAATGTCCCCACTGCTGGGGCACAGGCCTTCTCTATGGATGGATAAGGGAGATCGGGCCATGATTTACCGCGCGGGCCCAGTGCGGGTTGGTGGGTGCTAACAACTGCAGATGCAGCCGGGACCAACGGCAACGGCGTGCCTTCCGAAGCACGGAGGAGCTCGAGATAGTAAATTTTTGGTCACCCATCCAATGACCGACCACTGCGAAAGTTGCTCAACTTCAACGACCGCAGCCGAACGCGCTAACCATTGGCGCCATCGAGTTTGAACGGTGTACATGCACTGATTTATTTATTTATTCAGACGATGCATCCTGTAAAGGATGTTTAATGATAAAAAATTGTTTTATTTAGCTCTGTAATCGAATTGCATCGTCAAAATTTCTATCAGAACTAAGCAGCGCCTCTAGCGAACGTAAGAACAAACTGCCTCCTTCCATACAAAATTTGACGATGGCGATACGATTACGGATCTGAAAAAGTTCGTGCTTGGGTCTTAGTCACGTCATGTTCCCCCTTATTCTAAAACGCAGACTAAAGTAAGTCTTGGTTTAAACCTTATGTTGTCTACAATGTCTTATTTTTAGCAAACAAAGTGACAGCATCAGTTATAGTCCAGGTTTTACCTCACCTTAAGTCTACGGTTTGTAATAAGGCCGGTTGAGTCAGTACAGTCCGCAATCAATCAATCAATCAATCAAATTTATTTGTTCAAATATGAGTACATAATTTGGTGTTACATAATTATAATGTCTATTCATATTTTACCCTAACAATTTAGGTAAAAAACAAATTAGGTACCGTATATCTACAAAATCCAAAATTGTCACATATCAGTAATTGTACTTAAAATAGATTAAAATTGTGATGAAATCAAACATTTAATCAAATCAAATTAAATAGATTTTTTTCATGTGACACTTAAAAATAATAATAACCACATATCAATAATAGGGGTGATGACGGGGTACAGTAAACGAAATTCTATTTAGTCCGTCAGTTAGATGATTAAAAAATAATGGACACGTATTTTTTCTTTGGGCAATCAACCAAAAAATTACAAAGTTATAGCGCGTCAAAGCTTGGGAGTAGGGGCTCGTGACGTCACTTTTGAGTGAAAATTGTACTTGTTTAATTGTAAAACGTAACGTCATGCGAATTTTCAAATCAATA